CACGCGTGGCAGCAGACCTGTACAGTTTAATCCATTTTCTCCACTAGCGCCAGAGACCGAATACCAAGCGTCCAATAACCACATCTATGTCCTCACAGACTAAGTAGAGCTGGGTTTTGAGCTAACCCCCTCTTCGAATTGGGTAGAGATGTCAGATCAAAGGCACTACCAACGAGTTCTTAAGGCTGACGACGAAGAACGTCATTCTTGGATGGCCTGGGATATCCTTACGATATTGTCGAAGCGAGTGCAGACTGCCTCACTTGAGATAAAGTCGTTGTACTTAACTGGAAAGACGATCCTCAAGCAGTCCTTCATCTTCCACGCGCATATCCCAGCAGTCATAGCCGTAGAGAAAGTCGAACTGAACGGATGCATACGACCCTTCGTGATAACAGATCATCCAAGGAAGGTGGCTCAAGTGGTATCAACAAATTTCTTGTCGTCATTGTTTAATGAGGTTACCACTGCTGCCCAAAACCCGACGCCGCTACCGAAGCGAAGGTGACGACAAATAGGTCAGCCTAAAACCTGTCTGGATACAATTGTCCGTGACGGTCCATCAGTGTTTAGTGGATCTACGGGAGAACGATGGATCGAACTACTCAGATCCGTATTCGCTGACCGTCACGTGTGATTAATTACTATTCGAACATCACTGAGCAAGAATAGACGGATCAGACATTATCATTGCAGGTTAACCAAACAAAAGAGGCTTACCTTACTTAACTCGATCCCTAAAGTCTGCTACAAATAAACGAAAGCATGACGGAAAGATGGCCTTGCAAAATGTCAGCAAAGGTCCCACAACTTTTGATTGTGCTCTGCACGGATGACGTGTCTGGGGTAACACACCTACGGTTCCTGGATTTCGACTTTACGGAGCACAATCGTGCAGATGCGTGAAAGTTGAAGCGGTGGCATTTACAAGGTTTTGCCAAAGAGTTGCCTTGAACTTAATAAATACCAGAAGCCGCCGTTACTACCACATAAAAGGAAGTAATTACAAACGTTTATCCGTTAATAAGTGCAAACTGACATCTGTTTATAAACAAAGGACTGCTAAACTGCTCCCAAAATGTTTGCACTACGTTGTAATTTATTTTTAGAACAAAGGCCAGCCGATATCGACACCAAAAAGCGTTTCCCAAGAGATGACACAAAATGAACAAGCTCTCATGCGAAAGTCAAGGGATGGGCCCAAAACAACAAACTCTCTCGGTCATCCAAAGTTAATTAAAAAACAAGCTTAACAGGGGAGTAGAGAATACATAGACGTCTGTCTGTTTACCTGGTATTCTGTGTCGAATTCGGCAATCTTCGCAGCAACATCGGCGGCGAATGCCTCGGGCGACGTGGCGGTGACTTCAAAGGCATTCTTTTTGCTTGACATGAGTTGAACATTACCCTGCTCGAAGATGTGAGTCTAAAAGAAGAGAGCACCAGAAAAGTGGAGAGTGATCAATGAGCACACTCATGCACACGTACTTATGACAAAATGAAATTGCAGATTGGCGTGTAGAAAGTTTTTATTTTTTAAAACACGTCAAAGTTTTAGCTAAAATTCCTTCAGTGGCAAATGGACCCGTGCGAACATCAATACAGCAACACTCACTGCCAACAGTTACGAATAAGCTAAAACGTCGTCACTCAAAGAAAGCTGACCCTCAGACTACAACGAATGTACACCACTGTATACCAGAGTAAGCTAGCTCGTCTAGTGGAGGTGCTGGTAGGAGTCGCAAATGCACGACCAGACTGCAGAGGACAGGTTAGTGACTTAATAAGCAGAGCTATAAACACGCAGTGCCTCGATTACACGCAGTTCTTATTCTGTTTCTCAGGTCCGATTACGTATTCAATAAGATTTGATTAACTGAAAAATAAGCACATTCTTAATCGGTTGATAGTAGCCAGGTTACATAAGTAGGCACCCATCGAGACATCACATGTTTGAGATGCAAATTTACTTGCATAATCGTCGACCTAGTGACTGCGATGTCTACCAAACATTGGGTAAATATCAGAAACTGTCCAAACTCAAAGAGTTGTCTC